GCACCAGCAGGGAGCCATCTCCGGGGGCTTGGCCGTACCTGGAGGGCACCCTCTGCCCCCAGAGAGCTGGCTCCAGGGTGCCGCTGGTTCGCACTTCGCAGCAAGACCTGCGGCTCCAGCCATGTCTGCAATTTGGAAAAGCCTCTTTTCCCCGGCTGCAGAGCCTGGCCCCTTTCCTGCCCTGCTTGCAGACGGAGCGGATTAGCCAGCGGAGCAGCCTTGACATGCATCCAGCTTGGCCGCAGGGCTGGACTCAGGAGCACGTCAGGAAGAAGGTCTGAGAGCAAAGAGCAGCAGCCAAAGGGGAGAGGTGAGGTGATCGGAAAAACACCTGCTGCCAATGTCACTGTCACCGTCCCTGCTCTGTGGGGTGCCACAGCCCCCCTTTACAGTCCAGTCCCTCCCAGGGCTCTCCGTCCCTGTGCTGCTCGGGGCTTAGCCTTAGAGTTTACAGCTAGTTGGGTGGACGGGAGCCTGTCTCGGCGTGCACACCCTCCCCTTGCAGGTCGGGGGGAACGTGCTGGATGCAGGCGCTGGGTTTCGGGTGCTGCTGGGGCAGCCCACAGACTAGTGGAGCTGCAGGAAAGGAGTGGAAGAGGGAGCAGGGCGCAGACACCCCATCCCTGCCCATGCTCCTGGTGAGCTGTCCTGCCCTGCGACAGGTATGCCTCTGTTTCTCTGCCACAGCGAGGCTAGGGTGCAGGGACTGGCCTTGTCCCCCCAGGACTGACGGAGGTCTTGGCTCGGTCGTTCCCAGCTGGAGAATCCTCGTGGGAGCACCACTGGGAAGGGGGGAGCATCCGCATTCCCCCTGCAGCCCCCAGGGGCTGTCCCTGGCAGATTCCAGCCCTCACCGCTGTAGTGCGTCCCGCCGGGAATGAAATCTGATGAGCGCAGCCATAAATTTGTCAGTGGATGTGGCGCTGAGCCCTGCGTGCTGATGCTGCATTCAGCCCTTTGCATAGCGTTATCGATTCTGCAGCAGGAAAGCCTTGTTTAAGTGGCAAGGAGCAGGGCTTGCCTGGAGTCAGCAGAATTTAGCACCAGGCACAATCAGGCCAGGCATGGCAGAGAGGGGTCATCGGCCCTTGCAGAGCAGGGCTGGTGCTCTTTCCGTCCAACCGAGGGATGATGCCAGGGCTGGGGCTGCTCCCCGCCTGGTCCCCTCTCACTGCTGTGCAGGGAAACCCTGGTCCTGGCTGGCCACAGTGTGGTCCGTGCCTGGATGTGCCTGAAGGGCAGTCCCAGGCCCCCGGGGGAGCGCTGTGCCGCCAGGCGGCTGC